CCCCGCCTCCCTTCCTGTCTCCCAGAAAATCGCCCTGAACCCGCCTATGATCAGAAAGATTGATTTTCCTGTTGGCAGATTAGCACCATCAGATTGAGCCTGAGAATAGCGCCATGTGGTGCCTAAACCTATTGGTTCGTGTGGTAAAAGTTCTAGCTTTAAAATACCACATGTTTTTAAGGTTAAAGAAAAAATATGAGAAAGAATGATGAAAACATGAAAAGAATTATTAAATTAGGTAAGCAATGTTTCGACCCATTAAGTCGTATACATTTCTTACCTCTACCACAGTTGGACCTTGTCAGTTGTGGTAAAAAGTTTTTTTAAAAAGTAAGATGGGAGAATAAATAAGTTAATTGTGTTTTCGACCATTCCATAAATCTCAAATATTTCCGCGCAGTATTTTTTTTAGGTGAATATTTACCGCTTCGTAACAAAAGCATCAGTGGAGGAAGAGATTGTTGAGCGAGCAAAACGAAAACTCGTCCTGGATCATCTTGTTATTCAGGTATTTTTTTGACCGAATTTCGAAGTAATTGGTGGTGCATGTGTAATCGTTGAAGATGCTTGAAGCGAAATTCAATAGTCGTTCTGTTCATCTTTTTGTTTTCCAACTTTCCCTGCCCACAAGTTTTTTTTTTTTACCGTAAAAAAAATGATAAGCAACTGTATGAATATCGAAGTTTTGCAGAGGATGGACACCACCGGTCGAACAGTGCTTTCCAAGTCCACGGTAACGAACGGCTCGATGCCATTTGATAAGCACGAATTGGCGATGATTTTAAAATTTGGCGCCGAAGAGCTTTTCAAAGAGAAAGAAGGCGAGGAGCAGGAGCTGGAAGTTGATATCGACAACATTTTGCAAGGTGCCGAAACAAGGGAATGTGATCAGCAGGTCAGATTTTACAGAATTATGTGGGAATTGATTTACCTTTTTCGTGTGGGATTCGAAGCCCTTTGAAAGGAGAGAAGCACATCACCTTGTTTGTGTGAAACGTTTTGAAGAAGAAGCAGTTAGCAGACTTACTGATAGCTTTTCACTTTCTTCCTTTCCTCCTTCCTCTTCCTTCCCCATTAAGCACTGCGACCGTCATACTGACGAGATCCTGTCGCGGTGTTGAGTTAAGATGTATATGTCTTAATGGACCGAAACGTCTTATCTCACCTTTACCTTCTCTTCTCATACTTTTCTCTCTTTCTGTATTCTATCACGCCTTCGCCACTTAGGCTTCCAAAGTCAGCCTGGATGCTACAGTCGGCTTATCGGCTGGTGGTTTTTGTTGCCCAGTGATATGACTTGCGCTATTTTTGAGTGCCTCCATATCTTACAACAAATGAACACGGGAGTTTTGATTTCTGGTAAGACGTATATATTGAGTGATAGGGGGTTTTTTGCCAAGGGGGCTGCTGATGGTTTGCTTGTTGGGAGATTGCTGGAAGAACAAGCGGAAGGAGACTTGATTTCTTGAAATATGGCCGTTCAGCATCAATTTTAGCTTTTGGAACGGGTAGTGGAGGGGATGGTTCTTCCTACAGGGGCTCAAACTGACAACAGTATGTGTCTGAAGCAAGATTAACTTACAGCTTTTCTTTGTCTTTTCTTACCGCGAACTTTTTTTGCAGTTTTTTCCCTTTTCAGGATTCGGGCAGCGAATTGCTCAATGCATTCCGATACGCTGATTTCGCATTTGATGAGAACAAAGATGTGCCGACATTAAACAACCCAGCCGAAATGGCGCACAATGAACTGGCAGCAAAATCGTGGGATGATATTATCCCGGAAGCCGATCGTAAAAAATTCGCAGAGGAAGAGCGAGAACGGGTCGAGAAGGAGCTCTTCTTGGGACCAAGACAGAGAACAAAAGTAATTTTTTTTTTTTGCAGTATTTTGCATTTGTGCAGCAAAATTTGTACTTTTCTGGGAAAGAATTACGCGTTTTTTTGTAAGCTTATCTTACTTTTTTTGTAGTTTTTTTGCAATTTATTGTCACAAACTTTTTTTTTATGAGCCAAACATTATGGGCAAGTAATAGAAGTTAAGGACAAACAGTTATGTAGTGCTTTGTTTGCTGATGATATCTAATAATTGGAAAATTGGAAAAAAAAAGTATCAAGGATTATGGAAGCGGTTTTGAACTCATCGATGTGCAACACAAAAAATAATACCTCAAAAAAAGTTCCCTCAAAAGTATTGTTCTTTTCAAGCGAGTATTCAAGAGAGAAAACCATCGAAAGCCTTGTTAGCGGTCGCATACCGTTGACAAAGTGTTATTACTCGGCTGTTTTCCAGTGCTTCAAAAGAGGGAGGGGGTAAGGAAAGGGGTTTTTTGGCATTAAAAGCAAAAAAAAAGTTATCAAATGATGCAGGCTCGGATTTGATTTTTTCCAGTTTCCGTTGAATTTTCAGTTTTTATTCCTCAAAACTCAAGCACTTCTTTATTTATATGATGTATAATTCTTGATGTTCTGAGAAAACAGAAGCGATACAGCAGAAAGCTGCAAAATCCATGCTGTACGTGCTGATAAGATCTGATAATTAAAGAAGTGCAAAAAGTAGTACCAAAAACTAACGTTTGTTTTGCATATTTTGCGCGACTTCAGCTCCGTCCCTGTTTCGTTTTATTTTAGAAATGTCAGTATTTTTACTCCAACTGCCTTTTCTGAGAGAATGTCTTTTAAGAAGACATTCATAATAAATGGCCAGCGCACGGGCTGCCCGTGCGAAGATGCGTTTTTTGCAGAGTTCCCCGCA